GCGGATTCAGCGCATCCGTGGTTCAAACTGGCTGTTTATATTTTCATGGAGGAATGGTCGGTAGGCAGGAAAGAGGATGTTTTGGCATGTCTAATGATGAGGTCGTACGTGCAAAAGCGTGTGGTTAAGCGGTATAGGGAAGACTTCTCGAAGCTGCCGCTTGACTAGTAAGCGGACTGTGTTTTTTTGCCCTTCGAGGCGGGTTCCAAGAGCAGGCGACAAACGCCGTCCGCGACGACAGGGAAGACAAAGCAGTTGTTGGGTGGGTCGTCGGGCGCGAATCTTCCGTCGCCCTCCGTGAGGGGAGGTCGTGATTTGGCTCAAGGTTCAAGGGAGGCAACAGAGTTGGATGACAGGCTTCTGCACTAGCGTAATATTGGCCGTGAAAATTTCCAGGGCAGTGCAGTTGCCCTGGACGAGGACAACGACGAGGACGAGGAAGGAGGAAGTGTCGGTCCGCATGACGACGGCGGTAATGAATCAGATGTGGAAGTTGGGGATGACAACATGCAGGACCGGGGCGCGCTTGCTGACGAGGACGCCGACACGCCAATGCATGGTTATGACATCTCCCCCGCCGGCGCAGTGGGAGCCGCACGTGGTCAGCCCTCGACGTCCTGTGAGATTTCGTTATCGCAAAGCAGGAGTAAGGGTGGGCATGACTCACATGCAATGCAAGGACCGAAGGCGAAGAAAAGGACAAGGGAGACTTCTCCGTCTGCTTCTACTCACAAGAGGCAAGCCAGGACTGACGTTGTTAATGAGGCTCGTGGAGCTTTGATAGCGTCCCAGGAGGCGCGGCCTCCTCGGAAAAACAGCCAAGGGGGGCAATCTGGGGGTCAAGGCGGTGGCCATAGGGGCGGTGGCCGTGGCGGGGCGCGGAAACGCTCCCAGAGGGCGAGACCACAAGAGCTGCGGGACTTGGGGGATGAGGGCGAGGGAGTGGATCCTCGCATGCCCGAAGATGCTGATGAGTCGGTTCAGCGCGTCGTGCCCATCGACACTACGCGTTGTTTCTTCCTCAAGTACGACGACCAAGGCTTTGCTACGCAAGACGTCTATGCTCTTCGTGTGGACGTCATGAGAATCAAACGCATTCCCCGCGGAAGGATTCTTTTCAACCACTGCTCGTTGTCTGAAAACATTGTGCGAGGCATCGAGAATGTCATCGAAAGCTCCATCAGCACGGACCCAGGGGCATGGGATAGGCCCGAGCTCGTGCTTGCGCCTGTTGACCGCAATGACATTGTCGGCGGCCAGGGAAGACGGATCACGCCGACCGAATTCTTGGAAAGGGACCCGGCAGAGTTCAACTGGTACGCTGCCTGTGGTCAGCATACTGTTGAGGCCATGAAGAGGTTGGTCAGAAAGGACTCCCCGACAGTTAAAGTTTATGGCCTCAACGCGTACTCTAAGGTGCGGGTCGTCTATTTCGGAGATGATCAAACACGAGGGTATTTCAATGTCTCCTGCTTCGACAACACACGTGAAAATTGCTCCATGATGTTGTCATTCGAGGACGCTGTCCGTGACATCAGACAATGGTGGATAGACAACAATAGAATCGAGGCCCCCAAAGCCAAGGTCAGCGAGAAGGATGAGGTGGCCGTTGCACATCAGAAGACGTGGCAAAACTTCTTGAGGGCCTGCATGGGGAAGGCATGCAACAAGGCGTTTGTAAAGCAAGCTCTCGAGAATGAGTACAATAAGGATTGAAGTAATAAACTCAGGGGCTACATGAACCTCGCCACATCCAGTGTCGCAGTGTGGCCTCGAGAGGTTCTTCGAGATGTTTAACGAAGGAAAGCTGTCAGTTGGCGATGGCAAAATCCCGCTTGACATGCCCGGGAGGATGAAAGGCCGCCTGTTAGGCCCGTACACCGACGAGACCAAGGGACAAAGAACATTGTACCATTGCGTATACGCAACAGATGGTCCCAAAGGCTCCACCGTGTCGTGGAAGGATCTCTGTCCTTCCTACTTCAAAAATTTTGGGGATTTGACATGTCGTGAGAGGGAATTTGCGTTGCTCCTGCTCATGAAGGGAAAGGCGGTCGCAACGAACGTCAAGGTTTTGCCTCCAAGAGTGAACACAGAGTGCCTCCTCGACATCATGCGAAAGAAGCGGTACATGGTGCGTATGTTCAATTATGTTCTGTTCCACGCGGAGGGAAGGGCGGACGACGAATGGAACGACGCGTTCTTCATGTCGTACAAGGACCTTGAAGACAGGTATGGGCCAAACGGTCTGTGCGCTGCTGAATGGGAGAAGGAACGGGACAATTTACATGTCAATAAGGTGAAGATGGTCCCTCGACGACTTGGAGGAGTGGAGGAGGCAAGGCGAGGTACAGGCTTGGGGCCTACGGCGGCAAAGTATAAGGAGGCTCCGTTTCACCTTAAGGTCTTCATATACACTGCAATCGATAAGCTCGATTTGCTTCGCGCCGAGGTGAAACGGATCGCCTCCAGCACGCGTCATATTGTATGGGACAAGTTTGGCAAACAAATGACGTTGCTACCTGTGTGCATGCCATCGAAGGAAGTGTTGGCGGTGCCAGACGACATCGTCGCTGCAGCGCTAAAAATGACATGCAGGGCCGCCATCGTGAACATCCCATCCTCGAACTTCAGCACGACGTGGACCTCTCACGAATTTGATGCCTTGCACACACTGATGACCAAGTGTTGTGGCCAGAATTGGGTCCTTTTCTTCTTTGCGCCACAGAAGGTGCATAACGATGTTCTACGTCACTTGTTCCGTTGGGAGGACGTCGAAGTCATCCCCGGGACCTGGAAACGGGTGGACAGGCCGCCGAACGACATCACACGATACAGCAATATGGCTACTATGAGTCGAGATATGATGGCCATTGTCCTGCACGCCGAGGGAGGGGATCTAAAAAAAGTAACTGTCAAACCGCGACTCCACAACGACCTCACAACCGTGCACGTTGTGGAGGAGAAGTTCGGAAAGTGTCAAGGAAAACACGGTGGGATAGAGGGCGATGATAGTGCGGTGTATTCCATCTTGAAGCGAGAGCCTGGAAAATTGCGTTCGTTGTGCGGGTCATTTGTCGGAGAGGCGGAAGGTGTGCTTTTGTTGGGTAGAGTGCACGCAGGTCTTGTGTGGGAGTTATTACTCGCAGGTAATAATGTCATTGCCTGCGACGAGTCGGCCAAGGACATTGCATATCTGACAAAGTTCGTCGATATACTTGTGAAGGATGAGAGATTCGCCTGTCATGTCGAGAAGCCACGTTGCAAACATCGTAGCAACAGGGACATGTTCCACAAGCTGGGACGCAAGAGACTGAAGGTGTGGGAATACCTGTTTCGCGATGCGCCGCAAGGACGGCTTGACGGGAATTACATCTACAGGAAAACAAAGGTGACAGAGACCCTCTAACATTATCACAGTGCTCTTACTGGCGCCTTTGAGACTTTTGTTGCTCGATGCGAGATCCTGAAGTTCGATCTTCATAAAGACCAGCTGACGTCCAAGGACTACGCTGACCTCGCGAAATCGAGTGACGGCTTTAACCCCGTCGACAGCGAGGAAGACTCTTAGGAGTCCGACCTCGAATTGGGCGAGGACAAGGGTGGTGAAGGTCCGGGCGGTGGCATGGTGCGGTCACACGATGAAGGGACCGTTCGCTCGTATGAAAGACCAGTACCGGTGGCCGCCCACAGTGTTGGCTCGATGGTGGCCCCCATGGAGGGCACCGGTTTGCCAAACATGGGAATATGTGGTCCCAATGATGAAGATGACATTGATATGCCAGGCGAGGCGTCGAAGCTCGCACCAGGCGATCCAATTCCTCCCGGCTATTGTGCTGATCCGACCACAATTTATTTCTTGGGGGGCAAACACGCCTGCACTGGTGAGGACAAGTGGGGTCATGACATCGTGTGGCATGAGGGCATTTTTGAGCCCTGCATCCAAGATAGGGAGTGAAAGATGGCGGTCAAATACACACGCGGATGGCAGACGTTTCGCCAGATGTCAAAGGACACTTAGCTGAAAACGACGGAACTCGCGATTATGTACTGCGTGTAAAAGGAGAATCCGGGGCAGAGCGAGGGCACTGTCAAAGACAAGGCCAAAGAATTGTTTTCTGTATTGCGAGACAATCAGCAGTTGGAGTACAGTTGGAAATTTTACGCCCTGCGAACGAGTCCCTCATGTGGGTCAATCGACTGGAAGATCAATCAAACTATCGGAACCATGAAGGAGAGCAGCTCTCAGGATGCCGTGCCTTTGTCGGCATCGCCCCCCGTACCCACGCAGGCAGGGCAGAGCGAGGATGACAGGACTACTGTGGTGAAGATTCAAGAGGTTCATATGACGTCTATGTCGCAAATCTCCGTCGCCACGACAGAACTGTCCAAACGCATGGATGTGTCAAACGCATTGTCATCAGATGCAGGTGCCACGTACGGGAGTTTATTACTGACATGCGCCGCATTAGAAGGCACATCCGAAATGCAGCCAGAGTCAGCTGTTGGCCTAAGCGTGTCGGACAGTCAGTTGCAACGGGAGTTATGCACAGGCAAAGGTGATGCATAATCACCGCTGACACCACAGGGAGGGGCCGCTGCGGATGGTGGGAAGGGAGGGGATGTGGAGAGAATCCTCCATCCTCGCAATCTTGAGACCTTAACCGATGTTTTTGATTATTGGGGTGAGGGTGGAAATGACGTGGTCAATGCGAGGGGAGTGTGAAATGATCGGTGAGGCGGGAGGGGGGCAATGGAGAGGGAGAAACCAATGATATGATTACAATGTTATTCTTTTTTTTTTTTATTGAAATCGCACAATTGACTCGTTTGTTTTTAGTTTCAAATGGAACTGGTATTAGTTTTCGTAGGCACTACGACCACCTGATTTTTTTTTATGTATATATATATTTTTCCTCAATATTACGTTCGACCTAAGATGTTTAGGATACTTGTCATTTTCGACGTGGATGTGTGTATGCGGATGTATTCGGACTTGGATTTTTTTTTTTTTCTCTCTCTCTCTCTCTCTCTCTCTCTCTCTCTCTCTCTCTCTCTCTCTCTCTCTCTCTCTCTCTC